GTTTTAGTGTGATTGTATTGCTAGATTGTTTGAGCTTCTAAAATTGTGCTGAATTTGAAGTTTTTGAGCTCGAATTACTGAGAAATGTTATGTCATTGAAATTCCTTTTACATTTATGATTTTCGAGTTGGACAGGATGATAGTTCAACATTTACTGTTCGAAGTTAAGGTTTACTAAATGTTGTGACAGTATATTGCAATGTTGGGTAGACCTGGGTTGGGGTTTGGGTTTGGGTTTGGGTTAGGTGGGTGGGTTACGGTTTCGGTTAGGTTTAGGTTGGTGGATCTGGCTTTGGGTTAGGGTTAGGTAGGTGGATCCGGGTTGGTTATGGGTTGTGGTGGTGGGTCTTTATAAGTCGGGTTATGGAGAATTGCGGTGGTGGGTAGGGTGAATTACGGTGGTGGTTTTAGTGGAGGGCGGGGTTTGTTGCGGTGGTGTTAAGGTGATTTTAGAAAGGAGTGGTGGCGGGGCAAACCCTTTTTTTTTTGTTTTTTTATCAGAATGTTCCGACGGAATTTCCGTCGGAAATTTCTGGCGGAATACAATCCATCGGAAATTTCCGACGGACTTTGTTGAGCTTGAAAATCTATTCCAACGAACCCTTTTCCGACAAAGGGTATTGCGACAACCGATTACAACGGAATTCCGTCGGAAATCCGTCGTTATTTTCCTGATTTCTTGTAGTGGTAAACGGTTCGATTTAGAAGTGGTTTGGTTCATAAACGGTTCGGTTTATAACCAGTTCGGTTTACAATCAGTTCGGTTTTTAAATGGTTCGGTGCAAACGGGTAGCAGTTTGCTAACGGTCCGGTGTGAACGATTTTTTTGCCAGTTTAAACGGTTTCGGGTTGGAATCGGTTTCGGGATAGATACGGTTCGGTTTTTTTTTCAGTTCGGTTTTCTTTCAGTTCGGTTTATATTTGGTTCAGTTTGTTAATGGGTTCGGTTCTTATACGGTTTAACATTAATCGGGTCGATTCGGTTTCGGGTTTACTAAAATACGGTTCGGGTCGGTTTTCGGTTTCAAAAAAATCGGTTTTTAATCGGTTCGGTTCTCATTTGGGTCGGTCGATTTCGGGCAGTTAAACGGTTTCGGTTTGAAATTTGACAGCACTAATTGAAGGTCTACATTTTATGACGCATTTGAGATTCCAATTTGTCAAATCATCTAAGTAATAGTTTTTTAAAATCAACTAACGATGGCCGCACTAAAGTAATATTTTTTAAAAAAATAATAAAAAAATCACAAACTTAATGTAAAAAATAGATAGTACCTCATTGTATCAATTTTTAAAATGCTTCTTTGTATACTACATTGTGGGTAGTATTAAATGTCCGGCCTTCTTTATCACATATCAAAACTTTCAGTCCACTTTTCGTTATAACTCTTGAAATCACGACACATAATTGACCGTGACTAGAGACTAGCCTTGGAAGATAAGACCCACATGTGAAAGAGATTGTCCCTAACTTTTGTTTATAGTCATTGCAAAACAAACCATCAATGGATATTGCCTTCGTTGAAACTTGAACGGCACACTACAAGAAAATTGTCTTTCTGTAGCGATTATTTCGTAGCGATTGTACATTCGCTACAATATGCACATATGTTTGTGAAATAGTAAAGGAATCTGTGTCATTTTACAATTGACATAGTAAACCCATCTGAAATCGACACGAAAAACATAATAATATTTATTCACTTTTATTCTGCACATTTATAAAATTATGGAAAAGCGTATCGTTTACAATCGCCACTAAAACCCAAAAATCGATACAAAAAGCCTTTTTTACACCAGACTTTACAATTTTGTTTGACAAAGAGAACATAAAATATGTCATAACTTATTGGAAAAAACATTTAATATTATAGCTTAAGGTTGCATGTTCGAATCTTGTATAGAGTATATGTAGGGATTTTTTTGTGTATAGACCATGATTGAATGTAGTTTTCCGTATCGATTAATGAGGACAACCCCAGCGAAAGCGAAAAACACTACTAAAGGCTATGGGAACGGCGGATATTGTATCGAATAACCATTCGTTGGGATTTTTTTTTTTTTTTTTTTTTTTTGTGTTACAATTACAATCAATACGAAATATTAAAATAATCGCTATGAAAAGGTATTTTTCTTGTAATGGCAATTTTGTATTTGTTGGAATTAAGAGCATGCAAGGAATAAATACCTTATGTCCAATGTTGCTGTCTGATATTATTTTTGCCTCTATTATATGATTACCCAATTAAGTAATCTTCAATCTGGTTCTATATAGAAACTATTAGGCTGATCTATATTTCTAAGTAGCATAACCGGGACACCAACCTTTAGTTTCAGAGTATGAATCGGGAGTCCAGAACACTTGATGTTGTTTAAGAAATCTAGTGTATATAACTCTTGATGATCCCTTGTATTTCTATCCGATGCACAAATACTATCAGAGCTAAGATATGTTCTCTCTTCTCTTGAAATCATGGACAATAAATGCTCATTAACCTCCTCTACACACTCATTTCTTGGAGCAAAGGATAGCTCTCTCTTGAAAGTACAAAGGGTTATCCATATTTTGTGATATGAATGGATAAACACTATCAACAATGGATGAAATAGGACTTATTACTACTTCTTTAATCAATATATCATTCGAATTTTGAATGGTAGCCTCTCCATTATTAGATTCTCCCTCTTTATTTACCATCCCCTATTCTTAATATCCACTTTGAAAACTCTTTGATTTCTTGTGAATTCGAGTTTGAACTTCCAGCTTCAAGTCTTATGTTTCGTGTTAAAGATAGTACACTGCAAAAATCCCATAAGTACGAAGAGTTGATGGCTGAAAAAACAATATCTTCTCGGCTTCCTGTCGGAATGACTAGTAAAACTTGCTGGAAATCACCTCAAAAAACAACTTTGCCACCAAAGGGTTGCTCCATACTTTGTGGATTAGAAAATTGCATAATATCCCTCAAACTCCTATCGAAAGCTTCAAAACAAAACTTGTGAACCATTGGAGCCTCATCCCAAATAATAAGTTTTGTCTTAATCAAAAGAGTCGTCAAGGGAGGTCGTTGCTTGATGTTACAAGTTGTGTCTTCATTTACATTTATGGAAATTGCAAATTTAAAATGAGCAGTTTTACCTCCGAGAAGAAGAAAAGATGCAATCCCACTTGATGCAACATTAAGTACAATGTCACCTTGTCGTCAAATAGCAGCAGAGAGTGTTCTCCACATGAAAGTTTAACCTGTTCCGCCATACCCATAAAGAAAGAAAATGCCTCCTTTACATCCATCAAGAGCACCTACTATCTTATCATAAACCCCTTTTTGCTCATCGGTGAGACATGAAAGTAATCTTTTCTGATATGTTCAATATCCATTGAAACTCTATCATAACAAAGCTATTCTTGAATAAGTTTATTAAGCCCATCAGAGACTAAAGTTTCATCTGGATAAGGCATTGGCGGAAACCGTTTAAGGCTGTGGCCAGTACGTTGAAGCAATTTTTCAATTTCAACTAAAGTGTGATCCTTCAATTCATCTTCACTTACCTGCATGTCTAATAATTTAAAAATAATAAAATTAGTATATAAAAGTTGAATTTGTAATAATTTTTTATTTCAAGTAATTTTTCTAACATTATTTTATTGCAATAAACTAAGGATAATACTCTAGATTTGTACGACAGAGTATTATGTGGTGCTTTGCAACTTGTATATATACTTTAAGTAGTAATGGAATTTAGTAAGGAATGATATCTTTTTTTTTCTTCTCATATTTATAGTACTCTTATATTTTTTTTTTTTTTTTTTTTTGAAAGATTATAGTACTCTTATATGGTATGAAGTATAAAATATAATTGGACTACTGTTACGAAAGGATTATTATTGGTAATGTATTACGTACAGTATATTCTCTTATATAAAATAATTTGCATTGTCTACAAAAAATAAATAAATAAATAAATAAATAAATCGTAAGTTAAGATAAAATCTTAGAGAAATAATAAATTTTTACATAGTCTTTAAGCTATTTATTAAGTATTAAGAATATTTAGTGAAATTTATAGACTTATATATAATATATTTTGATATTTTCTCACTATTTTGTGGAAATTTTAATCTAGTTCCCAAAAATTCAATAGATACGTGTACATATAATATGATATATACTACATATAAGAGATTATTTAGTAGAGTTATATGATACTACGTATTATTACAGTCATTTATTTTGGTATCATACAAAATTTATGGTTTTATGATAGAGTTATAATGAGTGCAGGCTTTTCAATTATAATGTCAACTAATTTTGTTTTATATGGTAGGCTGCCATACATACATATATATATTTAAATAATTTTTTTATATGATATGATAAAATAATGTACTTAATAGATTTCGTATGAGATTATTATGCAATCATATATTGTTTTTTCTAGTAGTATTTTAAATATATAAATGTATCTAAAATGTAATTTAAAAATAAAAGATAAATCTATGCGGTAAATGTAGTATAGACGTACGGGGAGGTCTACTGAAAAAGTTTCCTTGACGACTGAAGAACAACGATGATGAGACACCAAAGCCAAAGCATCATAAAACGAACATGCACAATATCCCAGTCCAATTTAAAGAAGAAGAAGAAGAGAAAATAAACATAAAAAATAAAATAAAAATAAAACCGAAGTAAAATGGACATGAAACAAAACTAAGGTACAAAATTCTTAATTGAGAATTTGCAATAATCATAAAGAAAATTAGAGGGTCGGGGCTTTAATAAAGCCAAAATCCATGAACTAGATCGGTGTTAAAATTCAGATTTCTCAATAATTCAACAAAAAATTGGTCATTAATGGTCAAGAAACAAAATCCATAATCAATAACAGGTATTAAAATAAAATCATAAAGAAATTGTCAATTACATTATCAGATGTAAGGGTCAAGGCTTAAAGCCATTCACAAGCAAGAAATTCTTGCTTAATTTTATAATAAAGGAAGAACTGATAAAACAAACATGTTAAGAAGCAATAGGCGACAAACGAAATATCAAAACAAGAACTAGACCTGATCAAATTTATGTATTCATGGATATTACAAACACATATGCATATGCATATATATATATATAGGGTCGGGATCCGGTGAGACCATCCCCTTAGGTGAGACCATCTCTTATATGAGACCAAATCTGGGCCATTGAACTAAATAGATCTGACGGATGAAAAAGCGCATAGTAATGACAAAATCAGTAAATACATGTTTCCGCATTTAATGCCATTTAAACCCACTTCAGTTCCCTTTCTAATCACCACTATTCAAACCCACTTCCCCATTTCTGAAAAAAATTAGCGAAAACTGTCAGAGAGAAAAATCGTTCGATTTTCATTATAAAACCCTTTCCAAAAATTTCTACAACTACAATCTACAAACATCATCATCAATGGATCCTATCCAAATTACCAACATTCGACGAAAAAAGAACCTTGATAAATTCTTGTAACTGTTGAAATTGTATATTTGCATGCACAGTTTTTACGAATTTCAATGAGATTCAAGGATCGTGAGCACAAATCCGTTCAATTTATGTCAGATTTCAGCAACAACAAGAATCAACAAGCTTCATTGAATAATAAACAAGTAAGTGATGTTCTTAATTTTGGCTAGTAATTTTCAAATTTCATGCTCTTTATTTTCAGATTTTCGTTAAAATTTTCAAATTGAGTGATCTTATTTTCGGATAATTATTTCAAATTCTACGAATAAAATAGCGTTTATGATCAAATTTTTCGATATTAGTTCTACTTTGGATTATCATATCGATTTTTAGCTTCAATTTCATCAAAAAAAATTTCTGATTTTTGTTCGATTTCCTGTGCGTATCCTGTTTAATTTTTGTTCGATTTTTTCGACTTCTTGTGCGATTCCATAATCTGATTTTTTGTTCAATTTTTGTGCGATTTTATATGCCAATTTCATTGATTTTACATTTATTGATTTTTTCCTGATTTTTGCGTTTTTAATGCGTTTTTTTTAATTTATTTTTGCAGATTTTTTAGTTCGATTTAAGTAATTCGATTTTTTTGGTTGAGTACATTTTTTGGTTGTTGCCTTGGAGTACTTCCTGACCTTTGAGCATTGGTTATAGCATAACTTGCATTTGGGAGAGCTTGTATTGTATCAAAAGCAACTTGTTGGAGTTGCTAAATTGGTAGAATACAAAAGACCTTGAACTTGTATTGTATCAGAAGTGCTTGTTGGAGTTGCTAAATTGGTAGAATTCGAAAGACCCTGAACTTGTATTGTATCAGAAGCACTTGTTGGAGTTGCTTCCATATTGGTAGAACGATGATCACCACGTTCTTTGTTTTTCTGAGGGAGGTAGTAACAATAGATTAACTACTATACACTTCATCATGTGTTATAATATTGGCCGATTCATTGATACTTGAAAGAGACAACTCTAAGGGATTGACTAAAATTTTTAATCTGCCGCCTTTTGCAGAAAAATTTTGCTTGACAATGGCATTGAGAAGATCATCAGAAAGGCCAAAGAAAGTCATCAGAATTGCAAGGCTGCTGCAACAGATGCTCTACGAGATTTGGGGCTTGATAATTACAACTTGTAATTCTGACTGATGTTGTTGTACAAGAATGTCTTCCTTTGGATTATAAAGTGAAGTGTCAAGCCTCCATAAGAAGTAATTTTCTTCGCTTGACTTAAATCAAATTTGTTGTTATTGTCAAAATGTCTGTGTGATATGGTATGAATGTTCATGTTATATTCCTGAAGTGGTCTCAAATTGTGAGTTTTACTAGATTCAATACCTAGCATTAGCATGCTTATGAACAGAGAATCAGCTGTCCTGTATTCAGTTTATACTCCAGTTTTTCTTTTCGGTTCCTTTTGTGCTTCTGTGACTGGATCTTATATCTTAAAACTTAGAGCCATATATTGGAATTCACCTATTTAAGTTAATTACAATGTATATAGATTAATCAGGCACCTCATTGGTTTAGAAACTTTCGAGGTGCTCAAAAAAGAGCCATGTTTTGTTTGCTTCGTTTTTAAGTTTTTATTTTGTAAAGGTTTCATTTGTCATTTCTGATGGTAGTGTAATGGACCAACTCTAAATTTGATTTGTACAACAGTACAAGACCCGTCAACTAAAACCTGCCCTAGAGTCGAATTCGTTCATGGCTAGAGATTTGGCCTCGGACCCATAGCGGGGCTAAAACAGCTCTGCCTGAATTACAGTAGATTAATAGATTTTTATATACTCTTATTGGTTGAGTAGGATGTAATAATTGTTGTACACCACCCTAATTTTACTTATGTTGACAAACATCAAATTTGAAGCATCGAATCATTCTATAATTCTAATCCATCCTGATTTTTTTTAAAGCACCTTGTCAACCAGATCATTCCTAAATGGTGAATTTTGATAACAATTCAGTTCACACTGCCCTTGACAGTAGTATCTAAGGTAAACAATGTATATCATCAATTCCATTATTTCCGTAGTTGTTGTAATTTTGGATTGTTGTGTTGTATGGATTATGCTAAATTAATGAATTATTAATGTAATCAAACGTAATTGAACCCTATGTTATTGGATAAATAATGCATGTTTTGGTATGTTGAGTTGTTTATTGATAGAAGCAACAAAACTTATTTGTTACTCATTTGCAAAATAAGCAAACATTTTGTTTGATCATTTGGAAATGAGCTATCAATTTTTTGATCATTTGGGAAATGAGCAATCAATTTTTTACTCATTTAGAAAATGAGCAAATAGTTAGTTGCTCATTTGTCAAATGAGTAAATAATTAGCTGCTCATTTGTCAAATGAGAAAATACTCAGTTGCTCATTTAAAAAATGAGCAAAAACTTAGTTGCTCATTTGTCAAATGAGCAAATAGTTAGTTGCTCATTTGTCAAATGAGCAAACATTTCTATAATATTAATTAAATCAACAAGTATTTCTTTGCTCATTTATCAAATGAGCAACAATTCTTTTTTCATTTTATCAAATGAGCAAACAATTCTTTGTTGATTTATCAAATGAGCTAATTAACAATTTATAACATAAAAAATGATTTAAAACATATGATAAACCTATTAGCTCAATTGGTAGAGCATTATGCAAATGCATAGAGGATGTAGGTTCAATTCCTACATAGGTTATCTCTATAAACAAAATTAATTAGAAAAATAAATCAAATTCGTACTAAATTATATGAGCAAAAAAATGGTTTGAAATGATTTATAACTGAATAAACTTTGTTACAATTAAACTCTCATACAAACTTGTGTTTCCAGATTACATAAATGAACCTACGTGGGATTTGAACCCACATCTTTTGTGCATTTGCACAATGCTCTACCCTTGAGCTAGTAGGCTAACGTATTTAAACATTCAAACACACTCACAAATGAGCATTAATTTGACAAAGAGCAAGAATCATTTGTAAAATGAGCAAAAATTCAATGTTCATTTGTAAAATGAGCAAATAGTTTGTTGCTCATTTGTCGAATGAGCAAACATTTCTTTAATCATTCATTAAATCAGCAAGCATTTCTTTGCTCATTTGTGAAATGAGAAAACATTAATTTGCTCATTTGTCAAATGAGCAAATAATTAGTTACTCATTTGGAAAATAAGCAAACATTTCTTTGATCATTTGGGAAATGAGCAATCACTTTTTTGCTTATTTAGCAAATGAGCAAATAGTTAGTTGCCCAAAAAAATACAATTAAAAATAAAAAACAAAATTAACAACTGGGAAGTGCATATAACAAAAACAGTAGTGAATCAGTAATTTGTCAGCGTATACAAGGCCCTAGATAGTAATAAAATCCACCATATCAATCTGACTGCCAAAACGAAACGTGACACCTAGCAATCAGTGAATGAATCAGATCAAACACTGATATTCCCACAGTTCGAATTGCTACAAGGTTGTCCAGTTTTCTGAATCCTAAAGTAATACTTTATACTTAATAAATATTGCTCAACTTGTCTTGTAAGGTAAAAAATACTTCAGTATTATGCAAACCGAAGGAAAAAGAACAAGTGAACACATACTTAGATTGGAAATTCTTGCATGAAATATGGGACATCAACATCTAACAACTAAAAGGAAACACATACTCTGTTTCCAGAAAAAGGCTTCTCTTCATACTATTCTTAAATAATGCAAGTTGAAGTTCCTCCTGATCATTATAATTGATAATTGTATTAAAATAAAGAAACAATAATAACTTAGATATAACAATAATATAATGCATAACAACTCTTAATTTTCTACCATATAAAATAGATTAAGTATCATCAAGAATATTATATACCTTTCTAATAAATGAAGATTGAGCATTTGAAGATGAGTTGACTACAAAACTCTTTGCACAGATGGAAGCATGTGGAATGAAGGACTTCAGTGCATGAACCAATGGTTCAAGATTTGATGGACCCCGTAGCTCGACCAAGCAGCCATAATTCAGCACAACATAAGAAGCAACTCAAAGAATTGTTCTGCATATATCAATTTCAAGTCAAAACTCAAAAAAGAGACAATAAGGTTAGTATTAAGACTTCAGCCAGTACTCACAGAATGTCCTTCCCCAATGCCAACCAAAGTTAAAAGCAGCCCTATACAAGAAGTTCTTTGTCTCTTAGAAAAATCATGGTATAAGGTAACAGTCAAGAAAACTAGATTAATTGGGATATCGAAAACAAAAATTAGAACAACCTTGAGGCTTAAATAACAAAGTAATAGCCAATCAACACCCGCATCAAAATATTCTATTGTATTTTGTTCTACAATCAACATTACTTGCTTTCATAACTTTCAACCAAAAGTTAGCTACTTAATCAAATCCCTCAACTGATTTGTCTAAGACATGTATGTAGCCGAAAGCATCTTAACTGGTAGTCCTTCACTAAATAGATACTTAAAAAAGTACATTTGAAATTGATAAAATAATAGGATTCATTGGGGGAATATTGTCAAACACTTAGTGTGCATCAAAATTTAAGCACAAATTAGTGAAATGCAAGTACCAAAATTGACAAAATCAATCTCTTTAACCATTCATAACCTCAGAAATTATAAATAAAAGTTCGAATTACACTATAAAGAACCCTAAATAAACAAATGAAGCAAAATTAAAAATAAAATCAACTAATAAGTTCGAAAATCCCCAAAAATCGCACGAAAATCGCCAAAAATCGCAAAAAATTGACAAAAACCTTAAGTAATCAAACTTTAATCAACAAAAATCAAACTTTAATCAACGAAAATCAAACTAAAATCAACGAAAATTACCTTGACAAAGAATCAATGAAGTTAGAAGCAGAATTGATGAAGAATCAAAGCAAAGGAAGAGAACAGTAAGAAGGGAGCAGAGAAATTGAAGGAGGAGAGAGAAAAATGGCGCCTCGAATGAAGGAGGAGAGAGAAAATGCTGGAAAATTGTATTTAAAATTACATTTGATTGGAATAAATTGTAGCCATTGGATGCAATTAATCCAACGGTTGTAATATGTCCTCACATATAATAGGGTTCTCACATAAGGGGTGGTCTCATATGATCCTATTTCTATATATATATATATATATATATATATATATATATATATATATATATATATATATATATATATATATAGTGTGGATCATGTAAAAACAAGCCTATAGCTGAAAACATAAAAACGGACAATCAACACAGTAGATTATGACCCATCAAATCTCACGGCTGAGATTAAAACACATATTCTCCCTCAAATCCCTAACTCACCGTCCAAAATTTCCTCTCTCCTCAAACTTGCAAACCTCTTGTCTTTCTCTCTCCTCAAATCCCAAAATTGAACACAAATTGCTGGAAATTGAAGAATTTTTGTTCAAATTTCGCATAAACAACCTAAAATTGCTCAAATCAGGTACGTTTTTTTTTTTTTTCCGATTTTGTTCAAATTTTCATGAAAAACGCATGATGTTCAACTAGATTTTGCGATTTTTCAATTTGATTTTTCCAATTTTAATGCGATTTTTGTGATTTGATTTATGCGATTTTCAGATTTTTAATTTTCGATTTTATTTGGCAATTTTATCAAATTTTTTTCCTGCGATTTTGTTCGATTTCTTGTGCGATTTGCGTGTTTTGTTCATCAATTTTGTTTGATTTCCAGTGCGATTTTGTGACTTTTGCTCATCAATTTTTTCGACTTTTTTTCATCAATTTTGTTCGATTTGTTTGATTTTGCGATTTCCTGTTCGATTTTGTTCGATTTCCTGTTTGATTTCGCTTGGTTTTTGTTCGTTTTCATTTGTGATTTTTGTTCAATGGCAAAAACCTTATGTTCCTGGGTTACTTGATGAAGTGAGAATAGGTCAGAATGTTGTTGTCATTTCTTGTAAATTGAAATTGTGATTATCTGTGGATACTACATTCAGAAATGGAGAGGCAACAATAAAAGCCTTTGTTTCTGTTAGTTTGTCTCTTGGAGACCAGCCGCTTGCTGCTCAATTTCAGGAAATTCCTGCAGAGCTTCGGATGTCAGAAGCTGAGAGGGTTGGATGTAGGCACAAGCACTTGATATATATTTTTGTCAAAATAATGAAACCACCTAATTAACAATGCTAATTTGTATTTACTTGTTATATATTCTGGTTTATTGGAAATTGATTGGCTTTATTGCTGTTGGCAGATGAACTTTTGAAATCAACTGTGGCGGACAAAATTCCAAGTGATTTGGAAGGCATGGAAAGTACTCTGGAGAGGTTGCTGGCTTTAATTGCAATGGACCAAAGCAAACCTGATTTAAAATGGATTAACGCAATTCCTATCAACAAGAACACAATAAGTTATGGCCTTTTAATTTGAAGTTGATTAGAAAGTGAAATTAGCCTAACAGCCTTACCAAAAGATGACCATCCCTCAAGTATGACCCCACCTGTATTTGAATTGACCCTACTACTACTGCTTGAAGTTATGCTATGCCTAATAGTGGCAAAAGTTATACAGTTTATAAAGTATATAATGTATGATATTGGTGTTTGATTCACTAATGCCTAGTAATGGCAAAAGTTATACAATTTATAAAGTAAATAATGTATGATATTGGTGTTTGATTCACACTACCGTGTCGGGCCGGGCCGCCGCGGTTCGTGCCTGGCGGGCCACAGGCTGGTTCGTGCCGTGCCCGTCGTGCCGGCGGGCCCAGGATTTCGTGTCGTGCCGTGCCGGCCATTTTCACAGGCCAGCCCACGGCACGGCACGGCCCTCGTGCCTGGCGGGCTCGTGCCGTGCCGGCCACGTGCCGGCCTGCGGGCTGGTGCAGTTTTCAAATAATTTTTTTTTTTTTATTTTTATTTTTTTTTATTTATTTTTTTTTTATGACAACATTATAAATTAATAAGTTTATAATGTATATAAGTTATAAAATTATAATTATAAGTTTTATAAGGTTATAACTTATAAGTTTATAACTTATAAGTTATAAGTTATTAAGTTATGAATTTTATAATTATAAGTTGAATATTTATGTTTTATAATTTGTATATTCAATATTTATATTTATATATTTACTTTATACTATTACTTTAAAATTTAATGTTTATGATTTATTAGTAATTGGTATAATTTTATTTTTTTTAATATGAATTTACAAATTGTAACAAAACGGGGAAAAAAGGCAAATTGGACTTTGGATGTGAATAATGCGTACTTTATATTATTATTACTTGAGTTGAGAAAATTGTACAATGATAACAATGATAAAAATCATACAATGATGGTATTAAACAAAAATTGGAAAATGATAAAATTGATATTTTTAAAATCGTACAATATACAAGAAGGGGCGTCCGCGGCAAAAGCACATGTCCCACCCCGAGAAAGCTCACTGCTATTCATCTTCTCCTTCTTCTTGCTCGTCTTCGTCTTCGTCTTCGCCTTCGCCTTCGCCTTCAAGGTCATCGGCTAGTTGCATAGATTGGGAATTAGCCGAACCCGAACCGGAAGCGGAGGTTCCTTCTTCGTTGTCGTTGTGGTCGTAAGAACGGTCTTGTGAGCATTTTCCGCATCCAACCAATCTTTGAAACACACGCACATTTCTAGTGTTTCGGGTTTTAGACTTGTTCTTCTATCGTCTAAAACCCTTCCGGATGCGCTGAAAGCTCGTTCGGAGGCGACGGAGGAAACTTGGATAGCAAGAATGTCTCGTGCCATGTTAATGCCGGTGTGTGGGTATTCCAGCATTTTGAAATGTATTATTCTTTTTTTGTAACATCCATTGATCATCTACCCAATGGCAAGTCACACATAAATAGTGATATTTATAACCACTATCCCAAGAATCGGCTGTTAAAGATACTCTACAGTTAAGGTTACTCAATTCGGCTTGTAACCGGACTTTGTACTCTTGGAAATTTTTCATTGCGGCGGAACGAACGGTTTTCCTAGAGATTCTTTTATGTTGGGGTTGTAGTGCTTTGTTAATGTAGGTGTTGAATGCGTCACTTTCCGAGAAAAGAAAAGGTTGTTCGGCGTGTACTATCATTTTTCCTAGTTCATCCCTATCCCTCTCATAGTTGTATGTAAAGCCGTATGGATGGAATTGGAAAATTTTGGGCTGGGTTGGATCACTAGCTGGTTTTGCACAAGCTTTCATGTGTCTAGATAAGTGTCCCGTCCCGTTTTTGGTAACTGCCGTGAATACACTATTACATGTTTTACATTTTGCCCATTGTTCACCATCTTTACTTAGGACAAAATAACGCCATACCTCACTCCTTCGGTTTTTCAAAAGTAGCATCTCAGTTTCGGTTAACCATTCATGATGTGTGTGATGGTTAGTAGTGGGACTAGTGGGAGTGGCAGTAGAAGGGGTAGAACCGGAGGGAATTCGGGTACTTTCTTGGCTACCTTGGCTAGAACAATAGTTTTGTTGATCACCGATATAATTAGGTGGAAATTGGTATGGTGGTAGTGGAAATTGGTTTAGTGGTGGTGCTGGAAATCCCGACGTATTATATGGCTCATAGCCCGGGGGGAAGTAAATGGGGTCATTGGTTTGACTCGTAATTTGGGGGCTCGTTGTATTTGGTGGTTCCCTAAAACTACTACTACGGATAAGTCGGCCTTTCCCCCTAGACCTAGATGATGGGTTGTTCGATGCCATAATTAACAATTAATTTTTTAATAAAAAGTGGTTAACTATAATAATAATAATTAATAACAACAATTTTAACAATAAAAATATCAATACTATTAATTAATAACAATAACAATAACAATAACAACAAAAATAAATAATAACAACAATTGTAACAATAATAATAATTAATAACAACAACAATAACAATTAACAACAATAATAATTAAACAAGATTATTCTAATAATAACAATAAAACAATAATAAATTTAAGATTAGTTTAGATCTTACAACCGTGCTTCAACGCTCCACTAATTACGATTACGAACTTTTTAATTTTTTCCGATATTAGGAAAATAATTAGAGAATTTAAGAGAATAATTAGAGAATTTAAGAAAATAAGGATTATTAGAGATTTAGAGAATATAAGAGATAAGAAGAAGAGATTGTGATTTTGTGATTTGGGAATGAAATGGAGGTGAGTATTTATAGAATTTTTGGGGAGCAAATTGGCAAAAAACTAGCCGTTTTTTAGCCGTTTTTTTGGCTTATTAAGGAGATAGAATAAACGGTAACATTACCGTTGGCCCGCGGGCCGTGCCTGCGGGCCGGCACGACGGGCCAGCACGGCGGGCCATGCCCGTGCTCGTGCCGGGCCGTGCCTGGGAATTCTCAACCCTGTCCGTGGCACGGGAGTTGAACTTTGTGCCGTGCCGTGCTTGAATTCGGGTCGTGCCGGGCTGCGCCGAACGGCGGGCCGTGCCGGGCGGCACGCGGGCCAACCCGGCCCGTGCCCAGGTTTACTAATGCCTAATAATGGCAAAAGTTATACAGTTTATAAAGTATATAATGCATGATATTGGTGTTTGGTTCACTAGTCCTCTTTGGCTCTGGTGGTGGCTTTCTAGATTCTTGAAACCAGAGGTCTAGGGTTCAAGGACTAGTGGAAAACCAGCTACAGAGGAAAGATACTAGATGAGGTATTACAAAACACCTTCCTTTTGATTTTTGATATAATTGTAAATTAGTGGTATGCTGAGTATTACTGTATTGCTTTACTGCCTTTTATTTTGTTGTGCAATTTTAATTTTACAAATAGTATGTCAATTACTAGCATTGCTAGATTGTTACACTGCACGGACATAATTACTTCATAGAAAAATTATCTCAGATTCTATTTCTCACAAAAGAATGAACAAAAATGAGGGTCATTTGGCTTGTTGCTAATCAATCACCCTTTCATTATTTCAGTGCAAGTTCTGTGGCAGGGAGGGTACTATTACAATGATACCAAAATCTGGCCGCTATCTAACAGGTGATGACTGTGAAGCTGGAAAGTTTGTCCGTTTGACGAGCTTTGACTGCCGGGGTTTGGAGCCAGTGGACTACTCCTTTGGTGGTGACAAGGAGGAGTGGGAGAAATTATCTGATGACAAGTAGGAGCATGAGAAATTATCTGATGACAAGGAGGCCGGAGAAGGAGAAGTTATCTGATGATAGTTACCTTACTTTTGTAAATAGTGACATCTATAAAAATGTGGTCAATGTTGTCAAAATTTATATAATTACCTTATTTATATATATAGTGATCTTCGTTATTTTTATATATAGTGACCTCTGTATAAATGTGGTCAAAATTGATATAGTTACCTTATTTTTGTATATAGTGACCTTTATGTAAATATGGTCAAAATTGATATAGTTACCCTATTTTTGTATATAGTGACCTCTAAGTAAATATTCTAAAAATTGATATAGTTACCTTATTTTTGTATATAGTGACCTTTATGTAAATGTGGTCAAAATTGATATAGTTACCCTATTTTTGTATATAGTGACCTTTATGTAAATATGATCAAAATTGATATAGCTACCCTATTTTTGTATATAGTTACGTTATTTTTATATATAGTGACTCTATGTAAATATCGTCAATTTAGATAAAGTTACCTTATTTTAGCATGTAGTGACCTTTAAAACGTTGCGTTTGTCAAAATAAAAAAAAAATCTTTAAAACAGTTGAATTGATTATATGTAAGGTCGGAATGATCTTAGGGCTTTAGAACCGTCTGATCTTTTGTGCTAGTAATGAATGGCTAAGATTGCTTGTTTTTAGTTTTCACTATAAGCTCTGTTTTTAGCGGAACCTCCCCGTACATATATATATATATAGGAAGGATCTCGTAAGAATCCATCGCTATATAAGAACTCCTCTTGTATATAAGAACCAATCAGAGCTGTTGATTAAATCTGATCCAACCACCCAAAATACAGCCATAGTAATGGCATTTTTGTAAATATGCGCATCAATCATACACCCTGTTCTTCGTCTTTCACGCATCAATATTTCTCACTAATATTTCAAGCAGCTACCTTTCTCTCTCTGTCTAGTTTATTTCGGCAGAAATTCATCATCAAAGTTTGGTTAGTTTATCAATTTCTTCATGTTAATCCATTATTTCAATGTATAATGTTCAATATTTTTTTTTTTCAATTTTTTCGGTTTAATTTTTGTCAATTAGGGTTGGATTTCGGCTTAAATTTTCAATTTTCTTTTGATTTTTTCTGCTTAAGTTGTTCAATTGTGTTAGATTTTTTTTCTGCTTAATTTTATCAGTTTTTGTTTGATTGTTTCGGCTTAAAATTTTCAATATGTGTTCGATTATTTTTTGGCTTAGTTTATCAGTTTGTGTTTGATTATTCCGGCTTAGTTTTTTCTACTGTGTTCAAATTTTTTGGCTTTTGTTTATCAGTTTGTGTTTGATTTTTTTTTCAGCTTAATTTTATCAGTTTGTGTTTGATTTTTTCAATTTCATCATCAAACTTTTCTAAGTTTTGTGTTTGTGATTGATTTATTTTGATGATATTTTGCTGAATTTGCTTTATTTTATTGAATTATTCCATTTGATTCATATTGGAGATATAGTTATGACTCAGATTCCTTAGCTTTAATTGATTAGATGAAAAA